TCAATGTAAAGAAAACAAAAATCCTCACCACTGGACCAATAAACAACATTCTTATCAATGGAGAAAAGATTGAAATTGTCAAGGACTTCATTTTTCTTGGATCAACCATCAACACTCATGGAGGCAGCAGTCAAGAAATCAAATGACATATTGCATTAGGCAAATTTGCTGCACAAAACCTTTTTAAAGTGTAGAAGAGCAAAGATGTCAGCTTGAGGACTAAGGTGAGCCTGACCCAAGCCATGGTATTTTCAATAACCTCATATGCATGTGAAAATTGGACAGTAAATAAGGAAGACCGTAGTAGAATTGGTGCATTTGAGTTATGGTGTTGGAGGAGAATATTGAAAAGTACCCTGGACTGCCAAAAGAACACACAGATGCGTGTTGGAAGAAGTGCAGCCAAAGTGCTCCTTGGAGGCCAGGATGGCTACACTTTGTCGCTTATAGTTCAGACATATTGTCAAGAGAGACCAATCACTGGAGAAGGATATCATGTTTGGTTGGGTGGAGGGTCAGAGAAAAAGAGGGAGACCCCCAGCAAGATGGACTGGCAAAGTGGCAGCATTGATGGACTCAATCGTGGCAACAATTGTGAAGTTGGCCCAGGACTGGGAAGTGTTTTGTTTTGTTGTGTATAGGGTCACTATGAGTCGGTACCAACTCAGTGGCACTTAACAACAACATGTTTACCATAAGTATCTTAATTGAGATATGAAATAAAGCTATGGTTGTTGTTGTTAGGTGCCATCGAGTCGGTATCAACCCATAGCAACCTTATGCACAGCACAACGAAACATTGTCCGATCCTAGGCCAACCTTACTACTGGTTGCCACGCTTGAGTCTATTGATGCTGCCACTTAGCCAGTCCATCTTGTTGGGGATCTTCCTATTTTTCTCTGACCCTCCACCTTACCAAACATGATATTTTTCTCCAGCGACTGGTCCCTCCTGACAATATGTCCAAATTATGAGAGATGAAGTTTGGCCATCTTGGCCTCTAAGGAGCACTCTGGCTGCACTTGTTTCAAAACTGATCTATTGGTTCTTTTGGGAGCCCATGGCACTTTCAATATTTGCCTCCAGGACCATAACTCAAAAGCATCAATTCTTCTACGGTCTTCCTTTTTCACTGTCCAGGTTTCGCATCCATATGACGTTATTGAAAATACCATGACTTGGGTCAGGTGCCCTTTAGCCCTCAAGCTGACATATTTACTCTTCAGCACTTTAAAAAGGTCTTGTGCAGCAGATTTGCCTAATGCAATACGTTGCCTGATTTCTTGACTGCTGCTTCCATGAGTGTTGATACTTGATCCAAGAAGAATGATGTCCTTGACAACTTCATTCTTTTCTCCATTGATAAAAATGTTGTTTATTGGTCCAGTGGTGAGGATTTTTGTTTTCT